TTTAACATGAGAAAAATGTGGTTGAGAAAGAAAAAAATAAAAACTAATGGCTCAAAAAAGCCATTACCATGAAATTTTTCTCAGAGCAAGTGAATTTTTCCAAGCTTTGTTAATTGCCCGAAAAAAAATAATAAAATGCACGAACAACCACCGACATATAAATGTAAAAAATGATATAGCACATAGGAGTAGATTGGTGAACTAGGAAGAAGTAAGCTCGGACCGCGGACTGATAGTAGCTAAGATGATGGGTTAGACGCAACTCGGCATAGTAAGAGCTCGTCACAAGAGTAGCTCGTCTTAATAGTAGCTTGATCGCGCTTCGCAACGCAGTAAAATTATAACATATATTTTCTTTAACCGATTTCTACCTACCAACTAGTAGTAGTAGTGAGCAAGAGTCGAACCCACAGGGAGTGTGAATTAAATTGTGATTTTTTTTTTGTATTAATTGAAATTATAAAAACAATAAAAAGGGGGGTTGGATTTAATAATTAAAGTAATTAAAGAAAACTAATGAAACAAATAAAATTTAAACAAAAGAAATAAAAATAAAATAAAATAAATCAAGAGAATTTTTCTAGTTCATGGTTCCGTCTACACCATCGACCGACTCGTCTAATCAACTTTGGTATCAAATCTCGCTATCTTATGAAATTACTAGCCCTAGGTAACGACACGGTCTGCTACCCGAATTTTTTCTTATTTTTAATTTAACCGCGAGACGCTGTTACGATTAAACCTGACTTCTTGTACAGTCTAGAAAAACGTTTTCAAGATTTAATTAGAAAAAATAGGCTAGACTAAGTAGTGAACTCAACCGCATTAACGCCGTATTATTCCCAGTAGTTACTGTTTGTTATGTTTTTGTGCTTATTTTCGTGTATTTTATGTGCTTTAGTCGAATATTTAGGTTCGTTTTAATGTCAACCGGTTCATTTTATCGTGTTTTATGTGTATATTCGTGTTTTATGTGTGCAGTTAAGTCGGTTTTAGGATTGTTTGAGTGTCGACCGATCTATTTATATCATTAAAAATATTACTTCTCTAACTTTATATTTATTGAGTTTGATGTAAAATAATGTTTATTTTTATTGAAATTATTATGGATTTTGAAGAAAATGACAAAAACAGTAATTGTGGACTGGGTAAGATTGATCGAACAATTCGACATCACAGCAACAATATTGCACAATTTATGTTATTTATGTTTTGGTCCCTTAGTTCACATGTATTTGAATACTTCCCCAGTAATATATATGTTATTTGCACTCTGACCCCTGTCTATTTCTCTGAGACAACCTGTGGACTCTCATTCTTGAGGGTTTTCCATCTAATTCACCTTCTCGAAGCTCAACACATCGGCTCCCTGTAAAAAGTCGGCGCTTCTATACATACAGGTATTGTATGTGCATATGAGCAATTACTATCTCATGTGAATTTATGGCAAATTTTTCTTTTTTTCTTTGCTTTTGATTAACCCGCTAAATGTAGATGTTACCAAGTGGAGTATGGTCTTTTGTTGTTTATCCGAAAAATTTGAAGGCCTTCATACCTCTTGCAGCAATTATTTTGCTTTTATGATTTATTTTATGACACCTCTTTTTCGATATTTTTGGTTTATTTTGAATTTATGCCTTGTATTTGTGATTGTTAGTGTTAATTCCAAATTTATTTATTTATTTATTTATTTTTTTTCTGACAGGTTTCTTTGAGCTGGAGGATAAGTTTGAGGTAACAAATTCCTACGCCGAATTGTTGCCTGCATGTTGAATATTGTGTTGATACGTGTCTTTGTAGTGGCTGTTCGTTATAGTCTCTTTAAGTGAATTTCCTGGTCAGTTATGTGGCTATTTGGATGGTCTCAAATTCCTATTTTGTTCTGCCAATATGTGATCGAGGATCTTCCATTTGTTGATATCTCCTAGTAAAACTTGAGCTTTGATGTCTTCTTACGGCCGTGGTAAAATATTTTAAGTATTGGATTCTTATGAGGGATGTCATAAATCTACGAGTAAGTTGAAATAATTGCTTATGAGAAATGTTATCTTAGTCTCTTGTGATTCTTGGCCCACATAGTGAAAATGTAGGCTTGTCAGCTGATTAACAGTCTATTTATGCTTAATGCTTTTGATCCAATTCGATATCCACAGAGTAAGTGCAAAAAGAAAGCATTGTCTCGAAAACTATTCCATGGTGGGATACAAAAAAGATTGACTATATTTAGGACTCAATGAGCCTTTCATTAGTGGTTGTTCCTAATCTTAAATAAATTATCTCAATGATAGTTTACCATGGAGAAAGGTAAATAAACGATCTTTAGATAGAACATGGGAATGAGTGAGTGGGAGACCATGATAATGGTGGTTTCCTTCATTTCATCTGCCTGTTGATTTGTATTAGCCATCCTGGGTTACTCGGGATGTAAAGCAATTGAATGATTGAATCTGTAGTTAGCTAGAAATTCTCCCTTAGAACTACATTTGATCAGAGTTGGCCATATTGAATACCTTTTGATTTTTTACTAGAGGAATAAAAAAATAATATTATACCTTCATCTTCCCTGAAGAAATCAAAAGGCCCTTTCATATGATTTCCAAAACAGAAGTCAACAAGTGAAATCTTTATCAATATGAAAGCGCAAAACTTAAAAAAGAAAGCCCCAACCTTTTGGACCTCGCCTTTTGAAGTAAAGTGTTTCTGGGGATACTTGTGATTAGCACCAAATCCCTGAATTGTAAACTAAAGAAGTTATGTTAAATCTTAATTAAGAAATTAGAGTGGAAAAGATCCTAATCATGTTAGTAAACTAAAACCCTTTTTAGTAACTCCTGAGGAGTGTAATTGAGTTTGACTATGAAATAGGTCTCAGTCGCCGATTCTCAAGTACATCAAACTTCGTTTAGCCTTATCTTCTGGTGTCCTCCTCTTAGGAGGGCTGAAACTATCAACTGTGGCTAGCCCTGCTTGTTCATAAAATGTTGCTTGTCCAAGTATCACTTATTTTTTCTTTGACCTACAGCCTAAAACCCTTGCTGTGTGTAACAGGAGATATGCCTGTAGTGATTTTCTACAAGGATATGGAATCCCCTTAAAGTTTTTTCAGTCAACGAAGAAATGTGCCCTTGCAATAACTCAACGGATTCTGTTTGTGCATTTTTTAACATAATTTTATGGGATCTGTAGCTATTTTTGACCCAAGTAAGAGAAGCTCTTCGCTGGTGACAAAATTCCTACTTGTTCGTCACCTCTAGCCCGACAACTTATAATGATTCCATGATCCACTTTTCTGAAGTGCTTGCATGGGTCTAATGTTAGGCTATTTTTACTAAAACTAGCTGATAAGCTAGCTAATAGCTTATAAGCTAGCTTATAGCTTATGACTATGTTTGGTAAAACTAGCTGATAGCTGATAAGCTAGCTTATAGCTTATATGTAATTTTTGAGCTTATAGGTTATAGCTGAAAAGCTAGCTTATATGATAAAAGTGTTTGGTAAAATTAGCTGATAAGTTAGCTGAAATAAATTCAACTAGCTTATTTGAAAAGCTACCTAAAGTAGCTTATGAGATAAGCTCGAGCTTTTTAAAAAAGCTCGTCCTACTAAACGTGACTTATTTGAATACAGGAAGCTTATAAGTTAACTAAATAAGCTATAAGCTAGCTTATTTGGCTTACCAAACACAACCTATAAGTGATTTCGAGCTTATAGCTTATGACTTATAACTGATAAAATAGCTTATATGATAAGTGTTTGGCTTGCGGATAGTGGTTTGGTGTGGGCTGGTTTTGTGTACTATTTGATCTGGAAGCTGTATATCTAGTCTGGCAACATAAGTTCATCGTCAGCTTATGACAATTTTAAACAGCACTGGAAGATTTAATAGAGCATGTTCTGGCGCAGATGTTGATAGCTGGATGGAAGTAGTTGCAGTTGTATTGTGATTAAAAGGCGAGGGATGAGGAAGTATTGCCCAAAATTGCTGTTTTTTTGTATGCTAATCAGTTATTCTCGAGTGTGGTTGCTATAATTTTGTTGAGAGGGTAGGGATTATGCAAAACTTTTAAATTTTAACGGAAGGAAAACAAGGGAATGGAGCGCCGGAGGTATTCCCTTGGAAGTCGGAAAAGTTGTGTATTTCAATTTCCAAAAAAAGGCACTACTGAATGTACTTTGTTCACTTTGTTTTTAGTTGTTTTTCTTTTGGGTTGTATTTAATAATTTGTTGAAGCAAAAAAAAAAATAAAAATAAAAAAATCAAATCAAGTTCCCTTATAAAATGGCCAGAAGGCATAGCTTCTGTATGATATTGCTTGACCGGATGCNAAAAAGTTAAAAAAAAAAAAACAGAAGATTTGAAGTTCATGATGGAATAGAGCTAGAAAATAGAGGAGAATATGGGGTTTTCTAATGCAAGATTTCTGGCTGAATTGAAGAGATTCTGAAAATTTTATTTTATGAGTTATGAGTTCATATCCTTGCATTATTACATTTCTGATTTTAAGTTCAGTTTGAGCAATGCATACTCAGTTTGAATTTCTTCCTGAACTCTTTGTTAGCTCATCTGTACAATTCATGTTAGGTTTTCTGCTCCAGAATTAGAATGCAAGGGTATCTGTCAATAGACATATATATTATATGGGTGCATATGTCATGTAGGGATTCACATATGAGTGTATGCCACAAACAGTTTCTGGGAGAAAAAGGCATCCATTTGATGTCAACTTTGATTTCATGACACATGTAGAGAGGGGTTACTTGAAAAATAAAGATTAGTTTCTCTAGTAGGTACCGATTGAGTCTGATAATAATATAGGTCCACCGGAAAACTGTTTCACCATATATAATATTATTTTTAATATGAAAACAGTATGATACCACCTTTCCCCTTCCAAATACGCACTTCCCAAGCACCCAATTTTAGCCTTTTTTGTTTCTGGGATTTAACTTCTCATCTATTATTGCAGGTGAGTTGGCATAAATAGATTTATTCAAACAGAATGGGTGATGATACTTTCAACGACAAGTTACTGACTGACAAGCTCTCGAAACTCAACAGTTCACAGCAAAGCATAGAATGTATCCTTTCTCCTTGAGAGTTGAGACGAGAATTCATTGATTAATTTTTTTTTTTTTTGGATTCGCCTTTGTAGCATCCAAAACAGGCAGAATACTCATTGTTATGGATGCTTTGCAGTGTCAAACAGTAGTACCATAAGTAATGGCATTGGAGTGGATATGTACATTTTATTATTAGTTTATTACTCAGTCCAACGTCATACTTTATGTGTTTCATTTGTGCATTTTTATCATTTCCAAGGGACATCCCTCCATTAGCTACATGGTAAAGATGATGTGAATCATTGATTTCAACCAATCTTGTTTTGAGTTTTAACCAACTGTTGTCGAGAAGATTTTCATTTAGTTACGTATCCAGTTGAGAGAATATCCAACTATGTGCATAACATCTAATATATTCAAACATTGTCTTAATCCCTGTAGAAATGAATGAAAGTTTTATCCTTGGTACCTGAGGTGAGTAAGATGTCTATTATACAGGGGTGTACAAATTTGTGAATTACTGGAACCATGGGAAATGTTTTAGTTATCACCATTTCAGACAAAGTGCAACAATGGCAACATACTTCAACCTTTCCTTATTTTTCTGATAAGATCAATTTTCCACTATCCTGTCCCCATTTTGTTCTGGGTATCTAAGCATTATTTGCATCAGTTGCTAGCAGGATGCTTCTCTTTCATTTCTGGGGGCTTTAATCTTATTACAAGAAACAAACCAGAGTTCCATTTATTTGGTTTGTAAAATTTCTGTTTCCACCAAGTTATTGAATGTCATGAAGATTGTGTCTGAGTTGGATGATCTCTTTTTTATATTTGAGTTTCTATGGTTGCTTATTGCATACATGCATCACGTAGTTTTTTATGATAATACCAGTCACATCATGATGCAGGCAACCAAGTGAAATTTATTGGCCAATTTAGTTACAATCTTTTATAACCCGTGAAGCTCATTATTTTTTATCTGGAAATGTATGTCTCTCATGGCTTGTGTCAGTTTCTCATCGTGAGAACATGGATGAACAATTCGATTGCGTAGTGGAACCAATTAGAGAAAAACAGTGTTCAGCTTATACTAGTGCGAAAACACAGTGATGTGCTTATACCAGAATTGAAGAATGAATCCTACTCATCTAGTTTCATGCATTTTTAGTGATAGCTACCAAAAAAAAAGGACTCTCAAATCCAAACTAAAGAAGATTGATAATTATCATAATAGTGGAGATGAATGCCTTTTCAAATCTGGAACCATTTCTGGTCCCATAATTCTTGACTCAGTAGACATGAGGCAGTACAATTAAGTGATGTTGTTTCAATATTTATGCATGGGAAGTTTCATATGTTGCTAAACTTTAAAGAAAGCAGAGAATAACCGTATTCATGTTTATGGTGATATTATTTGTATTTTGTTTTAATTCTTAAAAGTTTTGGTGGGATTTTATAAGGAAAGTTTAGTGTTGCATATATTTGATTCCCATTTCTCTTATGGAGATGTTTGCTTTTAACATTTAATCAGCTGTGTCGAAGTGGTGCATATCTCACCGCAAAAAGGCCAAGCAAGTGGTTGAAACATGGGAAAAGCTATTCAAATCTGCACAGTCCCAGCAGCAAGTTTCCTTTTTATACTTGTCAAATGACATCCTGCAAAATAGTAGGCGGAAGGGCAATGAATATGTGAATGAATTCTGGAAGGTTCTTCCGGCAGCTCTCAAGGGTGTTTATGATGGTGGCAATGAGAACTGCAGAAAAGTTGCCTTACGACTGGTAATATTTTTGGCCACTTGTCATTGTTTTTGAGTCTTTTGGCTTTAGATTGGAACTTCCTATCTAGGCCTGAAAAGGTGGCATGGGAGATTTCAAATTAAAACCACCGCATGGATGGTGCTTTTATTAAGCATTTCTAGTAATTCCCATTTTTTGTTATGTTATTGTTCGGGAGCATTCTCGTAATTGGATACTTGAACAAGTGTAGCCTACTGTTATGATAACTAGCATTCTTGTTATTGTGTTTGGATTCTCTGGTTTCAGCGAAAGTTGAAGCTTTTATTGAAATCATAAGGATATGTATCATTTGTTTTCTTTAGCATATTTTGTGGAGCGTATGAAAATATTAGATAATAAAAATGGATTTGAGGTACTTTGTTGCAGCGGGGTTGTGGTATTTTGTTGCTAACATAGTTTAATTTTTCTCCACTTTCCATCTTGAAGAGATAGTTTCGAGATAGAAATAAGTTGAATTATATTACACGTATATTGTAGAAATTCGATTATTAGAAGAGTAATATTCAAAACTCTTTATCTTGTTGCAGAACTCAGAGGCCCTTTTGTGAATTATGCCTGATACTGCATTAACATTTCTATCATCTGCTTGTACCTTTGAATTGTGTATCATCTCAGGATTACCCATTTTGGGACAAGCTGTTAGGCATGCAAGAGTTTCTGTATTAACGGGGGATGTTGGAAGATTTAGGGCGTGTTTGTATATAAATATATCCATTCAAAACGAGTTTTTTTTGGTTAACCGAAAAATGTGATATGATTAGTTGTTAGTGTGATTTTGAGTTTATATTAAAATATTATTTTAAATAAAATAATTAAAGTTGATTTGATGTAAAATAATTAAGGATAGTGGGGTTGGGTAAAAGTTGAGTTAGATTTTGAGTATGGATTGAGTATAAAATGAGTTTATTTGTATGCAAACACACCCTTAACCTTTTTAGCACATTATTGTTCTACTTAAATTATTCGGGCATTTCTCTCTGGAGAAGCTGCTAGTCAGCTTATGTTAGATTTTGCGTTTTACTAATTCCAAATAAGATTGTTATTCCAGCTGGAGGGTCTTATACTTTCCCTGAGCTTTTATGTTTAATTTCGTCCCTGTCACTTGTTTGTTTATTAGTTAAGAGTTATTACTCTTTCTTTCTTGATCAGTACCGCCTTTTAAAAAAAAAAACTTCCAATTTTCTTAATAATCATATTTAGTTACTTTAATTTTCTGTTTTCTTGGCCAGTATATACACCTTTCTTGGTCACTTGTTTGTTTATTACTCTTTTTTCTTTTTCTTTTTCTTTTTATTTTTCCTCTTTGTTTTGGGTGCTCTTTATACCAGGTTGACATCTTTGAAGAAAGAAAAGTATTTGGGTCTAGGGGTCAAAATCTTAAAAGTGAAGTATTGGGTGAAAATCCATCTCCAGCGAACATCGTGAAGAGCTCAAATCCTATCAAGGTGGTGAAGAGAGATGCCACCTCCTTGAGAGTTGTAAGTTTTAAGTCCACGTTTTGTAGGAGATTTTTTTTTTTTTTTTTTTTTTTTTTTNGATAATGGCACTTCTATCAGTACCCGTAACCTTTTTTTTTGGTTAATTCCAGAAATTGGCTGTCGGAGGTTTGCCCGAGAAAATATTAACTGCTATGCAGTTGGTTCAAGATGAAGTTGCCAATGAAGAAACAGCCTTAATCAAATGCCATGATGCTGTTTCTTGCGTACGGGAAATAGAGAAAGATGCTGTAAATGCTTCTCGTCAAGGTTTGACATGATTTACTTTCTTATAAAAAATTATACTTAACGGACGTATTGAGATAGTATCCAACTTTTTCTGAAGAAGTTAATTATCGTAATTACTATAGAACCATGGATAAGGTATTATAAGAAGATTGAGTTTGATGTTATTGATGCAAATTACATAGAACTTTCTTAATGTGTAGAAATGTGAAATGAGAGTCTGTTTTTTTCCTCATAATTAGTTATGTCACTTCTGAAGATGGTTATTCAAAATGTGCGCGCAAGCCCAAAATTCAAAAATGAGATTTACTGCAGTTTATTGATGTTGATCTTTCACTTTTTTCTCCAGGAAATATGCAGGCTGAAGTGATATATAATATAGAGAAACAGGAGAATATGATTCAGCAGTGCATTAGTGAACTCGAAAAGTCTGAAGAAATTAGAGTTGCACTAGTTTGTCAGCTTAAGGAAGCTCTTCAGGATCAAGTATGGTTCTATTTGCAAATCCTTTCAAGTTCTCATTCATGTCGGTTTTAGCCCAAAAATTGTTATTTTTTTTGTTTTTTTGAATTACGAGCCCTTTATTTTACCCAGTTCAAAATATTATACCTCTTTACATAATCAGAATGGTTAAACTGTGCGTGCCCATCTATACGTGCCCATCTGTACGAACCTTCATGATTGCAATACAGCAATAGCAAATTCATGCTTTAGATTATGAATTATTTTCTTGGTAAAAATTATCATTCAAATGTCAATGGTCATTGATGGAATGCTATATTTGTTTCATTTGATTAGCTAGACCGGCTATAGTATAATATAGTATTCGTCCGGTTCTAACAAATTTCTCAAAGTCTGATTCTTTATATGGCTTTGCAGGAATCGAAACTCGAGCAGATTCGTAGTGAGTTACTTGTATGCAATCTCTCTCTCTCTTTCCAACTCCATACCCAAAAAATAAAATCGATCAAAAATATAAGGGTGTGCTTAGATACAAGTATATCCACTCAAAACGAGTTTTTTTTTGTAACCATGGTTGATTTTGAAAAATATGGTATAGTTAGTTGTTAGTGGATTTTGAGTTTATATTAAAATAATATTTAAAATAAAATAATTAAAGTTGATTTGATGTAAAAGTAGGAGAGATAAGATGTGAAGTGATGGTTAGTTAAAATTATGGGAGTGGATGAATAGTGAATTAAAGTTAATGTCATATGTAAAAATGATTGATTAATATTATTTAATTATATTGATAATATTGATAATAGTGGGTTTGAGTTAAAGTTGAGTCAGATTTTGAGTATGGATTGAGTTATTTTATATACAAACACACCCTAACTGGTTTATTCGAAAAACTCGCAGGTTGCTCGAGGCCAGATTCAGCAAGCAGCCAACATTCGGCTCCGGCTAACCTCTGGCCCACCATTAATCAACCAGCCGGCCGGAAACCCGTCCCCACCACCACCACCTCCGGCCACCACCCATTCACCGTTCTCAGCCTCCGCTGATGAGGACAGCAAGAGATCCGCTGCTGCTGCCGTGGCCGCCAAGCTGGCGGCCTCGACTTCCTCTGCCCAGATGCTCACCTCGATTCTCTCATCCCTCGTGGCCGAGGAAGCTGCTTCTGTGAACGTGGGCCTTAAGAGGCCCAGGCTCGAGCCCGAGGGCCCGCCAGGCCCATCACCCTATTTCACGAGCATGCCACCTGGCACGATGATGATGCAGGCAGTTTCTCAAGTTCAAACCCAACCTTTCATGCCGCCACCTCAGCCTCCGGCGCCACCACTTGTGCCTTTTAGTTACGGGCCGGGTTCTTTTGCTTTGGCACCCGGCCCGCTAGGTCAGCTGAGTCAGCCGGTGGGGCCCCAGCAGGGGCAGCCGCCGGCAAGTGGAGGCTATTTTAGGCCGGTTGGGGCAGGGTTCTACGGGCAGCCGCCCACCACACCGCCGGTACACCGCCAGTGAGAATGTAATCTGACATTTTTGTACATTTACAGGATAGGTAATATATGGGTAGAAAGTAGAAACTGTAGNTTTCAGTTTTACCAAGTTCTGTTATTATCTATCTGCAGTACTGTTGTTTAACATTTGGTTCTTTCAGCTTGTTGTGAATTGTGATATACTTGTTTCTAGGGCTAATGTAAAACTGAATTGTAGAATCTCATCTCTTTTTGAGTATATTTTGTATGCTTGGCTAGAAATGTTGAATCCATGTCACCAGCATTAAGCTGGATTTAGGTCTCGAATTAGGTAAAAAAAAAATCATGTATTTATAAGCTGATATAAAATAATATTTAGTTCAATTGCTGGATTTAGGTCTCGAATTAGGAAAAAAAAAATCATGTATTTATAAGCTGATATAAAATAATATTTAGTTCAATCTGCAAATATAAAAAAGGAGTGTACATGATCCACGTCAGCTAAATCAGTCCCGATTCAGGTCTGATCCACTGAAATTGCAAAAAATAAAAAATGTCGTGTACTAATTAATATGCCACATTGAAAAAGTTTGGTTTAATTTACAATTTACGAAGAAAGCCGTGATTTTTTTTTTCTGCATTTGAGGAGGTTTCACTAAAGAAATATCCAATCAGCAGTTGTCATAATTAAATTAAACAAACAAGTCACTATACCAAAAGATGAAATAGTTCTTCTCCACTATTATTGGAACAGGCGACACAAATTAAGGTCACATAACACAACATGACAAAAGATTACGAAACGAAATCCTTATTTATCACTCGTCGTGTACTCGAGCAAACACACCTAGATTGAACCGGAGAAGAAACTCATCCATAACCGTCCCAAAAAGACAGTATTAGGATCTAATGAAATCTAAAGAGCTTTACTAATTTTTGCGCGATAGGATCTCTACTTGAGATATCGTCCGAAACAAGTGAACCGGTAGTGTCGGAAAGTGCAGAACAGACTGTATAGTCGAGCGGAAGCTCAACCGCGGCAACACACGGATGTGTGAGTTGTCCTAGTTGAAGTTCCGACAAACTCGGAATAGTGATGTTGAAAAATCCACTAGCGTTGGTTGTACCTTGGGCAATGGTGGTGGACCCACCGGAAAGTCGAGTGGTACAATTCACCCTCACGACTGCCCCTTCGACACCCTCACCCGGACAAGTACCGTTTTCCGTGCAACATATTCTGCCGGATACGGTAAGCCCACTCAGAGTACTAATCCCGGGCCCTTGCCCGTTTCCAGTTGTTGCGAATAGATCAACGACAAGGAAAAGGGCAATTGTGGAATAACAAGCCATTTTGAGGTTTGTGGGTATTGGTGAATATATATATATATATATATATATATATATATATATATATATAGGGGATGGATCCAATGAGACCACTCCTTAAAATGAGTACGTGAGACTCAATCTTAGCCACTCATTTTGTCTAGATCAAAATCAATTAAAATATACATTAATTAAATAATAAAATAGTTGACCGTTGACTCCGGCGTTGACCGTTGACTTCCGGTGTTGACTTCCGGCGAGAATCGTTGACTTCCGGCGTTGACCCGTTGTATTGAAATAAATAACCTAGCAACAAAAGACACTCAACCTTGAGTGGTGTAGTGGTTGCATAGCTTGTCTTGCCTCCATGAGGTACCAGGTTCAAATCCTATGGGTTACAATTTTTTTATAAAAAAAAAATACAACTAACTTAGCAATATCAGACAACTAACCTAGCAACAAAACACAACTAACTTAGCAGCATCAGACAACTAACCTAGCAACAAAACACAACTAACCTAGCAGCAAGAAAGAACAACTAAACTACAACTAACCTAGCAACAAAAACAACTAAACTAGCAACAAAGACAACTAACCTAGCAACAAAAAAGAAATAACCTAGCAACAAAAGACAACTAACCTAGCAGGAAAAGAAATAACATAACCTAACAATAAAAGACAACTAACCTAGCAGCAAGAAAGAAACCTAGCAACAAAAGACAACTAACCTAGCAGCGAAAAGAAATAACATAACCTAACAATAAAAGACAACTAACCTAGCAGCAAGAAAGAACTAACTATAGGGATTGGTTCCAATGCATCCCTAACCTAACAATAAAAGACAACTAACCTAGCAGCAAGAAAGAACTAACTATAGGGATTGGTTCCAATGCATCCCATTATTTAAAGTGAGAACGTGAGACTCATTCCTAGCCACAAGATTTAGATCTTGATTTAAATAATAATTTTTTATTTTTATTATTTAATTCTTTATTTTTAATTATTTAAATATTATTATGACCATTGACCGGTGACTCCGGCGTTGACCGTTGACTTCCGGCGAAACTTGTTGACTTCCGGCGTTGACCGTTGACTTCCGACATTGACCGTTGACTTCCGGCGTTGACTTCCGACGTTGACCGTTGACCATTTGTCTTTTGTTATGTTATTTCTTTCTTGCTAGGTTAGTTGTTTGTTGTTGCTAGGTTAGTTATTTGTAGCTGCTATGTTAGTTGAGTTTTGTTGCTAGGTTATTTTTTTTCTTGCTGCTAGGTTAGTTGTCTTTTGTTGCTAGGTTATTTCTTTCTTGCTGCTAGGTTAGTTGTGTTTTGTTGCTAGGTTAGTTGTCTTTGTTGCTAGTTTAGTTGTTCTTTCTTGCTGCTAGGTTAGTTGTGTTTTGTTGCTAGGTTAGTTGTCTGATGCTGCTAAGTTAGTTGTGTTTTGTTGCTAGGTTAGTTGTCTGATGTTGCTAAGTTAGTTGTATTTTTTTTTTATAAAAAAATTGTAACCCATAGGATTTGAACCTGGTACCTCATGGAGGCAAGACAAGCAATGCAACCACTACACCACTCAAGGTTGAGTGTCTTTTGTTGCTAGGTTATTTATTTCAATACAACGGGTCAACGCCGGAAGTCAACGGTCAACGCCGGAAGTCAACGATTCTCGCCGGAAGTCAACGCCGGAAGTCAACGGTCAACGCCGGAGTCAACGGTCAACTATTTTATTATTTAATTAATGTATATTTTAATTGATTTTGATCTAGACAAAATGAGTGGCTAAGATTGAGTCTCACGTACTCATTTTAAGGAGTGGTCTCATTGAATCCATCCCCTATATATATATATATATATTTCTATGTTTGGTTGAGAAAATGGAATGAAAATGCCATAATTTATACATGTTGCCGTATTAATTATTCGGTAAATTTAATTGGGTTGGTCTTCCTAGCTAATGTCCAATTGCAGATAGTTCTGCCAAAATATTTTCCTAGTTGACCTTTGATTATAACTTTGAAACGATAAGGCGGGTTACCATATTAGCTAGCGAGATTATTCTAAAATGCACTAGTGGATGTAGTTACATTACTTTGAAGCCCTGAAGTGAAAAAATAAAAAATAAAAAATAAATGGCGCATTCAATATAAATGGTTGGTTAGAAGAGGATTTTGAGGGCTGCTCGAGGAAGAGTACAATAGTAAAATAGTAGTTTGTCATCCATCCAAAATGCATTATGTAAGAACATCCGTTTTAATTAAGCTAGCATAATATTGATTCGTTAAAACAAAGTGTGTTTTATATATTTATTAACGTATTTTTATATATTTAACTTTGTCGCACTTATAGGTTTTTTTCAACTTATTTACTTATTAGGTGCTTTGGCACATTTATAATTTATTTTTAGAATATTGGAGTAATTATTTAGACGTCGTTGTACACGAACTTGAAAAAGCTGGAGTATTGAGTACTTAAATATCAATGTATTTACGGGTATGTGTACACACATAAGACCCAATTCACCCAAGACAATTCACCTTTTGTTGTATGGGCTAATATGCCTAATAAATAATGCCATATTGAAGTGTGGGCCCAATGAATGAATGAGCTAATTTAATGCCATCATCATCGACTAAAGGGTGAAAAAATTCACATGAAATAAACAAAAAAATATACTTTCTAATAAACCATAAATTTGAAGATTTTACATCAGATGAACAAGAAATATACCTTCCAATAACTATTTATCATTTTTTTTTTACTTTTTTGTACATTTTTTATGTGCTTGTATAGTATACCGGTATAGTACTAATTTAGTTATTTTTATTTTGTGACAATTTCATCCAAGAAAATCTGAACTGAAATTTCATTTTATTACAAGTACAAAACCTAAAATAAATTGAGAAATTTACTAGATGGGTAAAAAACGAACAAAACACGAGGTCATTGATTGGTCGGAAAAAGTGTGTATTTCATATATTTATTAGCGTATTTCCATATGCTTAATTTTAGCGCACTTATTGTTTTTCGACTTATGTATTTATTAGATGGATTCTGGAGCTTTGATATTTTTATTGTTTATTGACCGCGCGTCGCAACGCGGCAAAATTATAATTTATATTTTCCTTAACAGACTTCTACCAACTAGTAGTAGTAGTGAGCAAGGGTCGATCCCACAGGGAGTGTGAATCAAATCGTGAATTTTCTCGTATTAATTGAAATTATAAAAAGCGATAAATGGGGGGGTTTTGATTTAATAATTAAACTACCTAAAAATCTAATGAAATAAATAAAATCTAAACAAGAAAATAAAAATAAAAATAAATAAATGAAGAGAACTTTCTGGTTCACGGTTCCGTCTACACTCTCGACTGATTCGTCTAATCAATTTTAGTATCAAATCTCGCTATCTCATGAAATTACCAGCCTTAGGCAACGACACTGTCTGTTACCCGAAATTTTCCTTATTTTTAATTTAACCGCGAGACGCTCGACGATTAAACCTGACTTCTTGTATAGTCCGGAAAAACGTTTTCAAGATTTAATACAATTAGCCGCTTTACGAATTATAAAAATAGGCTAGACTGAGTAGTGAACTCAACCGCGTTCGTTCACTTAATTAGACCGTGTTATCCCCGGTAGTTACCATCTTCCGGTTACCTCTTATGAATTAAACATAACAACAATTACGGATTGCAGGTCTAACTCAGATGTAGATATGAAAAGCCTAATCTAGGTGATCAATCTAAATAAGACTAACACATCATGGTGAATTATACAAAATAACACAAGCAATTCCAAAAAGATATTGAAATTATCAACCACGTAAATTAATCAAACATCGTCGAGTCGTAGGGTTCAACTTCCCCGGAATTAGAAATAAAATCTAAGCAAACATAATAAATAAAAACAAAAGAAAAATAAATAAAAGAGAGAGATTAATTATCTCCCTCGTGTACGGGTGCGGCCTCCCTCCGCGATTAATCGGGTTCCTCGCGTATCTGTCTTTTCCTCTGCTCTGCTCCGTGCGTGACTATGGCGGCTGCGTCTTTCCGTTCTTTTTCCTAGAGTCTGCGGTGTGAATTCTCTAATCTGCGTGAATGTGTGGTTTATATACAATGGCTCTCCTGAATGCCTCCTACGTGTCCTTCTTTCCAATTACATAAATAGTAGCTGTAGGATTCTTTTTGTTTTCTCCTCAAGTCATGTCATGTGGAATTCCTCAGCGCATAAGGTAGATGCTGCCCAATTAATTGTTGCCTCATGAATTAATAATAAGATGGCCGCATCATGTGACATTAATTTGGATTTCCACTATTATTGGGCCAATAATCTCATTAACAGCCTTAAACCATCATTAGCTTTTGGGCTTCCTCAATTGATGTTCATTTTTGGGATGTAACATCGGCCTACTTGAATTCTCGTTCAAAGTCACACCATATGTGAAAATACTCTAGTATGCTGAAAATAAACATAAAAATATCATAGCACTTGAATCCATCTAATAAATAAATAAGTCGAAAAATACATAAGTGCGATAAAATTAACCATATAAAAATACGCTAATAAATATATAAAATACGCACTTTTTCCGACCAATCATTTATTTTTAGGATATTGGAGTGTTTTTATGAACGACGAGACGTCGAAGGAAGGTTGAAGCAGACAGTACGGGAGAGTCCCATACTCTGCTGCGGACAGAGCTTGTACTCCATACCAGCCCAATTTCCAATTTCTGACCCATTTGTGCCATGTGCGAAAATTAAGCATAAGTGAAGACTTTACTAGCCCAATATTTGAATATAATGACTGCTTGGGGAATAGGAGATGGGCTTATAATTAATGGAGATATAGAAGGCCCACTTGGGGTTTATTTCAATTGATTGACCTATTATAATTTGAAAAGATATATATGCAGGCCCTAGGAGTATCATTAGGAGTAAATATATAAGCATAATTGAGAGGAAATATTTGGGGAGCCACTATCAGGGAGACATCACGCAGCCAGAAAAAGAAAAAGCCACAATACAGAGGAGAAAAAGAATACGCAGGAAGAGGAAACGAGTAGCCCGATAGACCGCGGAGGGAAGCCGCACCGTACACGAGAGAGATGTTTAATCTCTCTCCTTTATCTATTATTTCTTATTTTTATTTATTATGTTAGAGTAGTTTTTATTCTAGTTCCGGGAAAGTCGAACCCTACGACCTGACGATGTTTGATTGATTTTCGTGGTTGATTATTGAGTTGTCTTTTTGGAATTGTTTGTGTTATTTTGAATAATTAACCATGATGTGTTGGGTCTTATTTAGATTGATCACCTAGATTAGGCTTTTCATATCTACATCTGAATTAGACCTTCAATCCGTAATTGTTGTTGTGTTTAATTCGTAAGAGGTAACCGGAAGACGGTAACTACCAGAGATAACACGGCATATTTAAGTGAACGAACGCGGTTGAGTTCACTACTTAGTCTAGCCTATTTTTCTAATTCGTAAAGCGGCTAATTGTATTAAATCTTGCAAACGTTTTTCTGGACTGTACAAGAAGTCAGGTTTAATCGTTGAGCGTCTCGCGGTTAAATTAAAAATAAGGAAAAATTCGGGTAACAGACCGTGTCGTTACCTAGGGCTAGTAATTCCATGAGATAGCGAGATTTGATACCAAAGTTGATTAGACGAGTTGGTCGAGGTGTAGACGGAACCGTGAACTAGATATTTCTCTTCATTTATTTATTTTTATTTTTATTTCATTGTTTAAATATTATTTGCATTATTAGGATTTTAATTAGTTTAGTTATTAATTCAAAATCCCCTACTTTTATCGCTTTTATAATTTCAATTAATACGATAAAATTCACAATTTAATTCATACTCCCTGTGGGTTCGATCCTTGCTCACCACTACTGCTAATTGGTAGAGGTTAGTCGAGGAAATATATAAATTTTAATTTTGTCGCGTTGCGACACGCGGTCAGTCATTATTGAATGCTACCCATGAAGGTAGTGTTCCCATGGATTTTTTGCCACACATTCATATACACTCACACATACACCCACATGGGTATGTGTAGAATGTGTGGCAAAAAACCCATTGGGACACTACCTATGGGTAGCATGAACTCAACAGTCATTATTCTTGGCCAAGGGATGGTGTCGAGTTGACAACAACGAATTTGCATTGCCACTCAATTGGAACATAAAATGTTAGATTTTCAATTATTTAAATATTCCATCTTTTATCAGGCAATACCATTTGAAACTTTATAGGGGATGGTCGGATATATAATATTTTTATTTTGTTTGGATTTTTTGGTTTGGTACGGTTAATTTTAAAAATGTGGTATGATTAGTTGTTAGTGGATTTTGAGTTTATATTAAAATAATATTTAAAATAAAATAATTAAAATTGATTTGTAAAAATAGAAGAAGGGTGATGGTGAAGTGATGGTTAGTTAAAATTATGTGAGTTGATGAATAGTGAATTAAAATTGATGTAATGTGTAAGAATAATTAGGTAAAATTACGTCATTATATTGATAATATTCAAGATAGTGGAGTTCAATTAAAAAATAAATTAATTCCTTTTTTTAAAAAAAATTTGTATCCAAGCATCCCAAGTTTTAACAAATCCGACTATCAAATCCCACCCGAACGCCAACAAATAAACCCTACAATTTAAAAGTTTATTGGGGGAGCTTGCCGTCAATCGAAAAATAGCATGAGGCGGCCCATAATAAAAAATAATATATAATTAAGCAAATTAAATAGCCTGTACGAGACCTCCTAATAGCACATGACATAGAGAATTGAAGGATCTATTCCGTACTAATAAGTTGGTCCTTAACGAACTTCCCAACAGCATACGTAAATACATATGATCTAATTAACGTTAATATCACCTAAAGCTTTTATACAAATAGCAATATTTTTCAAACCACCAGTACTAATTAACTTCATGTATGATCTATCTAACTCTATTTGCAAGTACACCAAACTTATGAAGAACTATACACAAAACTAATTAATTAATTAACCACCCTAATACACATATAGTCTAGCTTAGTAATTCCCACCTCAAACTCTCTCTCATGTTATATATGGAGAATGTAATGTAGATTGCTAAAACTTGCTCATAAGTCATAACACAACAACACACCATTTTCCAAAACATAAAAAAAAAAAACCCTAAAAACTATCGATGGCCGCCCGGTCGACCCACTCGGCCACCTTCTCCGCCATCTCCCTAACCATCGCCGTCATATTCTTCGCCATGTCAATGATGTCATCATCGGCCGATTCCGACAGCGGATTCACGTCGGCCAACCCAGCATTCACCGTTCGCGGCCGAATCTGCTGCACTAGCGACGGCACGTGCCCGACCAACCCCAAGGACCATGATCGAGCCTTTGGAATCGGCAACAATATTCCCGTAAAGCTTCGGTGCGCGGTTTACAATCCCAACCAATACTATAGCGACAACCAAGGAGTTTACGAAAACAAGACGGATACTCGTGGGGCATTCAGCTTTAGTGTGGGCCCGAGCGAGTTCCCAACATATGGGCCCGTCGATGATGTCCGTTGCAAGATCATCGGCAAGCAAGCTGACATCAGCGCGCAGAATTGTCTCGGGCTTGCTAAAAAGTCGGGCTACATTGTGTCCGAACTCAAGTTCCTCAACAATGCGAATGGGGTTAAGAATTATGGCGCCAAAGAGTTTAACGTTCAGTCGTGTTGGATCGACTACTAATATATATATATATATATATATATGTGTGTGTGTGTATTTAGCATGTTGTCTTCCCAAAGCCCATATGTATACTTTTCTTTTTTCTTTTCATACTTTTGTGTTTTAGGTTTGTTAGGGCAAACAATAATGAAGACTCATGTAACAATACGATCAATGATGCGTCGTTTGTGTGGTCTGCCGAAAATAATGGACAGGAACGATTAATGAGCTTTATATATTTTTAGATCGAGCATTCAAATCTCAACTTCTTCCATTTTTGTAAGGTGCAAATTGTATGTTCTTGTAATACCGAAACCACAAACATTAAGCGGATCGGTGCTAATATAAAAAAACTTTCTGCGTTGAGCGTTGAGCGTCTCACTACTAGTCAGAACGTAACTGTTTTACTAATAAATTGTTGCCTACACGTACAAGAATATTTTCTGACCAACAGGTAGACTTAGAACACCTATATTGGATAAGGAAGACGAACACTTCTCCCAATTGCTGTAAAAAAAAAAATAAAAAAAAATTAGGTTCCAAACTTTCAACATGTTATAAAGACAAATGGCTTAATCAATAACTAGGAAGATACATTTAAAATAACTCTAAATTCTCAAATTACATAGAATTTTATGACCTTATTCTATGTTCGTAGCTTAAGCAAATCAGCACAAATTTGTGAATAGAGTGTTTAGTATCGATTTTTTATTCTTTGTTTGATCCTATTTTGAAGAGTCTTACTCGAGAGACACGATCTGAGAATGGATTTTTTTCCATACTCGGCTACAAAACTTCTTCACAATGTTCAAATTCTCCAATGGCTAAAAAATCCAAAGGGCGTGTAGAAGTAATGTGGTGACAGACTTTTATCGAACGGGAAGTACAAAAGAAGTTGAAAAAACTCGATTTCTTAACCAGCGCAAGTAAATTCCATTTCACTACTATTTTTTTTCAGTTTTCGGAAATGCCAAAAGAAATCACTGACTGTAAAAGCCGGCGCACAACCACTGACCGACCGCTTGAGTTCTATTTGCTCTTCTTTCTTTTCAAGTCCCTTCTTTGGTGCAACTTGGAATAGGTTTTCGAACATGCAGTGAAGTGCCAATGTACAACATCAATTGTCGTATTTATATGACAATAAATCATCATACATAAAACCGTACAAGATTTTATTAAAACCGAAACTAATTAATAAAAACATATATAAACCATTTCATGTCCATTATTCGTGGAAAGACTTACAATGTGTGAGGATATATCACACAGTCTTTATTCCTTATTCATGTTTGCTGTCAAACCTTATAATAAAACAGAGGAGAGAAAGAAAACGAAAAAAAAAAAAGATATATATTCCTATCTTTTTCGACTTATACGATTCAAGTACATTTCTCTTCACGCTTCCAACCAACACGGCTGAACACTCCAGCCACTCGGCTCGAGTTCGAGCAGCCCATTAGCCTTTCCCAATGACTTCAATTCGGACACGAGATAGCCCTCCTTGTCAGCAAGCGCGGGACACAACTCGCGGTCGAAGCTTATCCTCACGACAGCTTTGCACGGGATGCTATCGAACCCGTCAAAAACGTACTCGAGCTCCGGTACCGTGATGTTGAAAATCCCTCGCCTGTCGGTTCTGTCCTGGTACCCTTCGTAGTTGGGCCCTTGGAACAAGTTGAAATAAGTGTTTTCACACTTGAGCTTGACGAGCCCACCGTTCATCTTGCGGGCCCAGTAGAGGCCCACTGGGTCCGTTGGGCAGTTGCCGTCTCGCGTGCAGCACAGCTGGCCGCCGACGGTGAAACCCTTGTTGATGTTCGGGTCTATGATGAGTGCGGCGTGCGATGACGTCAGCAATGACGGCGTGCATAGGAGGACGAGGGCTAGTGAGGTGGCGGCGGCCAGGCGGGTCCCGACGAAGNTGTTTCTCCATGCATGCTCTATTTATAGTTTATGATATTATAGGTTGTATGGGGTTTAGGTGGGGGATTGAAGAGAGTATAGATTAGCCTATTAGGTATTTAGGTTGGCTGTTTTAATTAATTCAAGTGTCATAGGATGTCCTCTCGTTAGTATGTGGCTGTTTTAATTGAAGTGTTAAATGGAAAAAGTTGTTTAATTAAATGAAGACTTTGGAAAAAGAGAGTGTAGATTAGCCTCCTTTACTTGTACGACCTCAGTCACATGCACAGACCCCTCATCTGTCTGAGGGCGGAGTTTAGTTGGCTTGTTGCCTTTACAACTGAGTGCAAAAGGTCGAAAAGCAGAGTTCTTGGCATTTGATTCTAGTAAGTGTTTAAATCATCGAAGCAGAGTACTTTTATTCGACTTAGGAGATGCCGAATACAGATTCGCAAGTGAAGCTATCTAATTTGCATCTTGGATACATTTTACGTGTTGATAATGTTCAAATGTTCGTGTTGCACTGTTCTTAGTTTGATTCACGTTGTACTCCCGACATTCATACAAACGAGTTACTCGATCATGATATCATCTGCTTTCCAGCATTGTTCTTACGTCGACCTTTTCTTATCAGTCGATCTTTAAACAATTGGACGCGCAACGACTCATAAAACGTGCTTTCATATACAGAGTTCTACACTAAATATCTGTTTCTATTTCTCTTCTTCTTCGACTTAAATTACACGAACAATACGACATATTTATTTATGTAAACCTTTTCCATGTACTATTGCAGAATTTACCCAGAAATTCCCCCAGCAAAGAGGAAATTTACCTCTCATAAAGGTTAAAAGTTAAGACAAAAAGAACATAGATGAACATAAAAAGGAAGGATATTCAAATCCATTTTTCAATGATTAATTGTCATAATCAAACCAAAAATTGTAGAGCAACTAAATTATATAAAAATTCCCATGTCATGCATGCCCGTTGTTACCATTTTCTTCCGATGATCTGAGGTACCAACGTTGAAGACGTTCTGCAGCTATCTTCACTTGCTCGTCCCAATCCGTTTTCCACGCCATGTAACTAAGTGCAAGCGACTGTGCAAAGATTCCTATGTTCATCCCAATCCAAATACCCTGTAAATGGATTCGAACCGACTGTTATTTTCATTACCACAACTTCATAAAATTTGCTTCGTAAAAGTTATTCAAATGAGCTTTATACAAAATGCAAGAAAGAGCTCTCCAAATGCTCATAAAAGTTCCTGAAAAATCCCAAGTGTTCAATAGTCGAGCCAACACTATGAAAAATAAGAAGAGTTCTGAGTATGTTTTTTGGCAGCTCTCAATAGTAAAACTTACCATCCTTAAAACTTTAGCTTAATCACAAACCAAAAATGTTGGTTATCTTTTCAAAATCACCCTCTCATCAGAACATTTCCTAAGTGGTGCTTTTAGAAAAAATGAACTGTAATCACTAACAAGTGTGATTAAAACATGAATTTTTATACCCAAAAATGCTCGATAGTAAGATCGACTATTTACCTCAACTTCAAGATGAGCCACATAACCGAGCAAAGCCCCAATAGGAATACCAATCAAATAATAACAACAGAGGTTGATAATCGCAACCGTCCCTTGAAGACCGGCTCCAACTGCCACTCCTTTTTTTTTTTCGAGCAAAAAATTCAAACCATCATCAAGAAATTGATTTNAAGTGAAAATGGCGTGATATGTGGTAACTCATAAACTAAGTAATTAACTAACCAGAAAGCACGGGATAAATGCTGTTGAGCAAGACCGAGATAGCAAGCATGAGAGAAAGATTCGAGACGGCCGTTGCCACCTCAACGTCGTTTGTGAATAAGTACCCAATATTATTTCCGAAGACCAAGCAAATAATCGTGAAGAGAACGCCAATAATAACCGAGGTACTTATGAGGACCTTAATCGAAAATCTTGTCGCATAAGCATCTCCTCGTCCTAGCTCATTCGCAATCCGAACACTTCGGAACAATTACAATATAAAATAACTAGATTAAATAAATAGTAAATGTAATAAAGAGGAGAAAAAAAAAGTCGAGTTTTTCGGGCATTATAATTGTACCATGCGGCACCGAGAAAACCGAGGCAGATCATGAATTCCCAGCCGTTAATATTAAGGCTGCCAAAAAAAAAAAGTAGAACTCGTATTATTGTAATCGTGATAGATGTGCTAGAGCAGAAAAATACTTAAAATGGACTCGTAAATGAGTTCTCACCAGATAGAGAAGGCTGATATGGCAACCTCGGCATTTTGCATGTAGCCGGCCAATAAGACGAGTACAGAGTTGTACCACAACTCCAAACTGCAAAAGTTTCACACATAAGCTCATTGAACAAAATATTTGTTGAGAACGAATATTGACCAGCCGACTTAAGGTCGCATCATAATGCCAGCATTACGATATGAACTCCATTAATAAGTCCCCTAAAAAAATCTTTCAGTACAGAGTAAATCACAAAAACTACCTCCAAGTCTTAGTCAAATTGCATAAAGACCTCATTATTAGGCCATTACCATTTCACACATTATTATTGTTTTCCATAACAAGCAAATAAAAAATAGCAATTAAGCCTCAAGTCAAGTGTTCATCTCTGTTTGTTTGAGAAGATTCAGATCGGGCTAAAACTCAAGGGCACCACTCGCGACTCTCCCCGTAAGAATGTTTTTTTTTAGCATCACTCACTCAATCCCCTAGACAGAACCTAACTTAAAATATTCATAAAACAAAAAGCAAAATCGCATTTCTAGTCGTGTTGATTTAACAATTTCAATCACAAGGTTCCAACATTTCGCGTTTCGGTCTTTTCTAGAACTGAAACTGCAACAAATTCCCAAATTTATGGATTCTTTATTACCAATTTAAGTCTTGTAATTTAAAATTATTCTGCAATTTCAGTCCTCAAATGAACTGCAATTGCAGCAAAATATTAAATCACATGACCAAAACGCGAAAAGTTGGAACCTTGAGACTAAAAAAGAAAACCCACCAAGAAAAGGCCATGAGAATTATACCAAACCATAACCCCGGACGAAATCGAGAGCTTGATCACGGGCAAGAGGTCCCTGAACGCGGCCGAGTTGAACCCGCTCCACGTCTCGGGGCATCCTCCCCCCATGATGTACCACATCTCTGCAAAAGCCGCGAGCCAATTGGACACGCACAATGCCCCCATTGCCCCATCCGTTCCCCACCCGAGCCGGTACACAAATAGCCACGAAACGGGCACGTGCACGGCTAGCTGCCCTATCGATATCCAAGCAACGACACTATTCTTCTGCTGAGCCTGAAGAAACATTTGCATCGTGAGCGTGAACACGAAGTTGTAAACCATCGGAATAAACCACCACGAAATGTAGCCCGCGGATTCGGCAATGTCCGGTTCTTGGCCCATCAGCTTGAAAATCGGGGCACCGAAGATGAAGAGAGGGAGCAATAATGTTAGCGTTAGGAAATCGACGACCCACGAGCGTTGCAAGTAGATTCCCATCATGTGGTATTGTCGGGCTCCGTAGGCTTGCCCGCACAAAGTCTCGGTTGCGCTCGACATGCCTATCTGCAAGTCGGGTTTTCGAAAAATTTCGACGAAAATTTATTAAAATGTTAAAATTTCGAGAAAATGTTAATAGAAGACAAAAAAGAAAAGGATGTACCAAAACGCCGTTGACAAAACGGACGGTGAGCGTTTGAACGAGGGCATAACCGGCGAGATCAACCGAGCTTAAATGGCCGATAAACGACTGGGTAAGGATTATAGTCCCGAACGATGCCACTCTTGCTATTATCCCGGGCAATGCCACCCTCCATATTTTATTAGACTCGTCGTAAATCCTTCCTTTCAAATCGGTCGACTCCTTTTCTTTCGGGACAAGCAACTTTTCGCGCGTGCCATTGTCCATGGCTCTGGAAAAAAACAACAAAAGAAGATTTTCGTAACATTAATAGAGTTGTTAAATGAAACGACTGCTTGTGAGCTCGACTCGGCTCGTTAAGGCTCGAGTCGGGCTCAGCTCGGCTCGATAAGGCTGAATTTTTATATATTTTTTTGTAGTTCATCTCGTTAAAGCTCGAGATCGGTTCAAAATCGACTCGTTAATATTTATAAACTAGCCGAGCTCGAGCTTGATTTCTGGCTCGTTTACTTGACAAGCCGAGCTAATTTACAGGCTTACATTAAACTATCAAAAACTCAATCAGTGACCTTCATGTTGGCAGTGATGTATTTCATCATTTTCATTTACTCGTTTTCAAGCTCAATCAATCAATGTTGTGCAAAATGAAATATTTTTCTATAGTCCATCAATCAATGCAGCTTTTTATTAATGCCAATTTTTGTCCCAAATTCATCTAGGCATGATAGTGTTTTACATATTATTGTAGCAACTAGCTAATAAACTAACAAGTTAATAGTAACAATATTAATGTTGGGAAATATTATTAAGGACTGAAACAGAACAATGAAGCTTTCCTAAAACTTGAAATACTGCATTTATTTATTTACTGATATTTATTTTTCTCATACCATAAAAATCCTTTTCTACAATTATTGAAGAGAAACAATCTAAGATAAAATAGGACAAGGGAAGATAAAAGGAAAAGGACTAAACTACAAAGGCCCACAGGACAAATGATGAACCAAACCAAGGGTGGATACATCTTCTCTAGATTTTAACAACCTATTTTCCTAGT